TTATAACTTCTTTATGAGAAAGGTCTTAGCAGCCCCGTCTCTGGGGTGGCCTCGGCTGGCGATGGTGAATATCATCTACCATCTGCAGCCCCCATTGCGAGCTTGAGTCTCCTAGGCAGGCACTTGGAGCTCTGCTGCTTATAGGGTACTGCCCCCATGTTTGTCTACATTGTCCCCTCCTGGGGAGAAACCCCAGAGAAGCTGTACCTCCTATGCAAGGGCAGACTGCAGCATCAGATATCAGGGGACAGTTCCTCAGTACCACAGGTGAACAGAGAAAACCCTGTCCCTCACCGAGAATGGGACCCGGACTGGAGGTCACTGAGTGCTCTTATCAGAGCTCTCAGATCAGTTCTGGAGAAGGGCGTTGGGAAGAGATTTATTTGAAAAACAAAAAACTGGTGGAGTAGGGTGTGGTGATACAAACCTCTACTCCCAGCAGGGCCAAGTGGAGGCCGGATCCTGGGTCGAGGAGAGCTCAAGGGCTGGACAGTGATGGCACAGGCCTTTAATCCCAGCACTCGGGAGGTAGATCTCTGTTCAAGGCTTGTGTGGTCTCAAGAGCTAGTTCCTTGAAAAAACAAACAGAGACAAAGAGCTCAAGGCGAGCCTCAGTTACAGGAGAACCTGTGGCAAAAATAAACAAATAACAACGAAACTAAAAAACAACAACAGAAACCAAACCACTGAAGACAGCACACCCACCTCCAGTCAGGGCAGCTGGGTCTTACATCTCTTGTCCATACTGTCTGTCCTCTTTACCATCTTTAGCTCACCTCTGGGGTCTCAGTTTTCTTGTCTAGAAAGCAAGAGAAGTGGAGCCCATGACTTAGTTAGCCAGACCTGGGGTAAGCAACCCGAAGTCCCACCACTAGGAAGGTGGCGGCGGTAGGGCTGCAAGTTTGAGCCTGCCTGGGCCACACGGTCCTGTTCTGTCCCTAAAAAGCAGGTTAATCTATTCAGGTCAAAGGTAAGAGAGGTCTTGCTTTCTGGTTGTCCGCCCGGGCTTTTCCCTTTAGGGGACAAGGGGAGTAACTGCAGCGACACTGGTACTGGGGACCTGAAGAGGCAAGCGTTCCTAACTCAAGTCTGCCACTGCACAATCCCTCCCGGCCTGTGCAGTCCCTTGGTGTCTACTGTGATGGGGTAGACAAAGTTGGTCCTGGGTCTACTGAGACCTCTCTCAGTGAGAGTCCTGGGCCAGACCTCAGCCCACAGCTGACAGAGGAGATATAACTTCACCTCTCTGAGTCTATTTGGCATGCAACAATGCTTCCTAGCTCTTAGGGCTGAGAATTTCCAAGGTGTTTGGTTGTGTTCTTGAGAGAATGTGCCAAGAGAGGTGCCTGGTTCAGATGCAAAGTCTTCTGTTCCTTTGCTGCAGCCATAGTGGCTTGTCTGAATGCCCTGTACTTCAGCCTCAGCTGCCACTCGGCTGCTTCCCGGAAGCCAGATGTCTCCGTTCCCAAGTTGAAATTTGCCTGCTGTTTCTTCCACTACACCAATAGGGGCTCTTCCTGGGGTTGGCAGTCACACAGGAGGAGCTGGTAACTCAGTCTGATTTGAGTGGGAGGTTGGGAGATGGTGGGAGCTGTCAGCAAGGCTAATATCCACAGATGTTTTCTTCCCTCCTTATCAGTGTTTGTCACATCAACCTGGAATGTTGGCTCCCAAACTGAACCTCCACTAAGTGTGGAGTTCAGGCAGGCCTCCAGGAGATCTGCTCAGAGCCCCGAGGAATCTCTTTTCTCACCTAGGACAAAGTGTGTTAGGCCCCAGCAAGGGTCTGGAGATTAAAGAACGCACAAAGACACGGGTCACTCTTGAAACAAGAATGCCAATTTTATTGTGGTCCAGGGCAGCTTATATGGGGCTCTCCTTGACTAATGGTCACGTCCTAGCTCTCGGGATTTTTCAGATGCAAGCCCAGCAGAAACCACTCCCCTGCCATCAGGAACTCATGAGGGTCTCGGGCCCAGAGCAGCTGCAGCACAGGAAAACAAGGTGTTTACTCTGGTAGACAAGGGGTCATAGAAAATTCAGGGTCTGAGGTCCACAGTTCCCAACACAGGCTTGACTCTTTTTCCTTCCTTCCTTCCTTCCTTCCTTCCTTCCTTCCTTCCTTCCTTTCTTCCTTCTTTCCTTCCCTTCCTTCCTTCCTCCCTCCCGGGCTCCAACACGACCGTCCCTCCATACATCCCATTCTTCCTTCCTTCCTTTTTTCCTGGCTATATAGACCAGGTTGGCCTCAAACTTGGGGAAATCCTTTCCCTCCCTCCTGAAAATTGGGAATGCATGTGCTCACAGCCATGCTTGGCTTTTTTTTTTTAATAAGGTCTTGCTCAGCTTGTCCTTGTCCTTGCCAAGGTTTCCCCTCAGCCTCTTGAGTGCTAGGATTACAAGCATCCACCAGCACATCTGTTGGAAGCAAGTAAGGTGAAGGACAAAGGGAGGGAGGGCCTGGCCGAAGGAAAAGCTTGAGTAAGGCGTGCAGACGAGAAGCCATGAACAACACATGCATGGCTTTGGTGCAGGAAAGAGTGGGAAAGTGAAGGTGGTCTCACTTGGATGACCTCAAACTCACTCTGTAGACCAGGCTGGCCTCGAACTCACAGAGATCTGCTTGCCTCTGCCTCCCAAGTGCTGGAATTAAAGGCAGGAGCTATCCTACCTGGCTTTGAAACATATTGCAAAATCTTCCTTTAGAAGTCAGTAAGGCTCAAAGAGATTAATGATAATTTGCCCAGATCCTACACCCAGCAAGCAGCAGACCTGGAATGGCTACCAGACCTGCTTGACTGTAGAACACAGTGCCCCCCACACACTCCCTACCCCCTCCTAGGATCAAAACAGGGGTTAGCCACTTGGGCACAGATGCCAGGCCATTCCTGAGATGCTTGTTCTTGCCTTCAACATTCCTTCATTATACTTTCCTATCTGGGCTGGCAGATTCTGCGGCCTTCCTGCCTCAGACCAGCAACTTGTCTCTCCGCAATTATTTTCAGTTCTCCATGCCCCACAGAAAGGAAAGGGCCACCACAATGAGAGCCTGCTGGAAATTAATTTTATTTTTGAGATAGGGAGCGTGTCAACTATGCTTGTCTCGAACTCTGGATCTTCCTGCTTCAGGCTCAAGAGTGCTGGGCCTATAGGCAGGCATGCCACCACACCCACCGGCAATCCATCTCTAATGGGGGGGAGAGGAGGATTGCTTGGGTTCTGTTTGTTTGTTTTGTGTTGTTTTTAAGACAAGGTCTCTATGTGTAGAAGGGCTGCTTTGGCATCTGCTGTGTAGGCCGGGCTGGCCTCGAACTCACAGATATCCACCTGCCTCTGCTTCCCAAGTACTTGCACTTGGAGTGGGGGACAATGACTGAAAAGGGGCCATCTAATCCAGTCCCATGGTCCTGGGCACGGATTTGGTTCTGCCATTGCTGAAGGGTGGTTCACGCCGACAGTGTGGATACAGTCTGAGGCCTGCATGTTGGTTGTTGTCCTGCCGTATCATGTCTTATTTAGGAGTTCAGTCAGGACACCCCCGTTCCAGTTGCCCCATGGACTCTAGTCGGTTTGAAGCCCAAAGTGGAAGAGCACATAATAACACACAGGTGCAAGTCCAGGGGCCTCTCGTCTAAATTTTATTTTCAGTGTTTTTCCTTCCCTCCGCATTTGCATGTGAAGCTGTGCAGTAGCTTCAAGCTCTGTGGGGAACCTTGCCTGTCCTGGTGAATCCAAAGCATCAGTTCCTTTCTGTCCAGTCAAGTCAGGAGGGAAGCCAAGACCTGACTCATTGAGTGCTTGGGGTTCAGGTACTTAGAGATGGTGTCTCCAGGAATCTTCCATGGACTTTTTTTTAAAAAATCTCTATCTTCATGGGCCTAAGAAAAACAAAACAAAACAAAAACAACAACACACACAACAGCAATTCTATCCCACAGGTGAGAAAACTGAGACGCCCGGATTTGAAATTGTAATCTTGAAGATGGTGGTCCCGGTCTCTCTGCTTCGGACTCCAAAGCGTACACTGCCTGGCTGCTTCTGCAGCAGCCTTCAAAGGGGCTGCTGGAAGGCGAGAGGAAACCTTTTCCTCAAATAGGTTTCGGATGCCTAAGTCTTCCATCAGACCAATTAAATCACAGCCTCTGGGGTCGACGCAAACATCGGTGTCTTTCCGGACTCCCCATAGAGATTGTGAAAGCACGGGGAGGTGGGGAGGGGGGTGCTGCTGCCCTGCGCTCTACTTTAACCGCCAGAGGCACTTAACCTCCAGAACTCTGTTAAGGAAAGCAAAACCTAAACCCCGGGCGCTATTTCCCCTGCGCTCAGCGTCACGAGCTGGGGAGGGGCCCTGGTGGGGGTCCCTCGCCGGCTCGGCTCAGGTGTGGCGTGGCTGCAGGAAGTTACCCCCTCCAGTGGCCCGGAGCGCCGGGCGGTTGCGCCATCCAGCCCGGCTTTCGTAACAGCGAGCTGGGGCTGCCAAGAGGAGCTTCTGCACCGGTTCCTCAAATGTTTCGCGGTTGCCAGGACGGCCCGCTGCTCCGCGTCACGTGCGAGTGGGAAGTCGCGGCGACACCGAGCTGAGCCGCGCCAGGCC